GGGAGACCAGATGCCAAAGCTGCAGGGCTTCGAGTTCTGGAGCCGCACCCTGGGGGGGGCCCGCCACGTGGTGGCCCCGATGGTGGACCAGAGCGAGCTGGCCTGGAGGCTGCTGAGTCGCCGCCACGGGGCCCAGCTCTGCTACACGCCCATGCTGCACGCCCAGGTCTTCGTCCGCGACGCCAACTACCGGAAGGAGAACCTGTACTGCGAGGTGTGCCCCGAGGACCGGCCCCTCATTGTGCAGGTGCGGGGACCTGAGCCGCACCCCGGGGAGCACCTGGGTCTCGGCTCTGATTGGAGCGGAGGGGGCGGTGCTGTGGCAGCCGGGCGCACCTGCAGCTCTCTCAGAGCTCTACCCCTCTGGGCGCTGCTTGCTCAGACCTTGGCGAATGGACAGTTGGCTGCCAGGAGAGGGCTGTAGCCCCCTGCCCTCCCCCGGGCGCCCTCACGCTGCCCTTCACCAGGACAATGAGGGGGGAGAGGGGGCGGTGTGTCCCAACTCAGTCGTCTTGTGAGCAATTAGGACAGGAGGCCAGCCTGTCGTCAGCCCCTGGGACACGCCCCCACTGGGATCCCACGTGAACCCCGTGGGCCGCCAAGGGCCAGGGCCTGGCTCCGGTTCCTGGTGATGGTCCTGTCTCCCCCAGTTCTGTGCCAACGACCCGGAGGTGTTTGTCCAGGCGGCGCTTCTGGCGCAGGACTACTGTGATGCCATCGACCTGAACTTGGGCTGCCCCCAGATGATAGCCAAGCGGGGTGAGTCGCTGGGGCCGGGCGAGGCTCCAGGTGGGGCGGGGCTGCCGGCTCTCAGCGGCCCCTCACTCGCCCAAGTGCCTGGGAGGTGGACAGGCTCCCCCTGGATGAATGTGTTTTGCTGCCGCAGCCCCAGTGGCTGTTCCCCTTGGGCGGGGCCTGGGGAGTTGCTGGTGGTCAGAGACTGTGGGGCGTTCGGCGCCCTTGAGCCTGGGCAGCTGGGCAAATAGCCACCAAGTCGGACGCTGAGAAACTGCTCTGTGGCTGCCTCCCTGGAGACACCCCCTCGGGGAGCCCCGGGCCCGCGGGCTCAGAAGACGGTGCGCAGCCCACGCTGGGAGCGCGGGGCCAGCCTGGCAGGTCGGCTCTCAGCCTGTGTGGACACGGGAGGAGGGGGACGACGGCCACCTTTGTCACTGCAGGTCACTACGGCGCCTTCCTGCAGGAGGAGTGGGACCTGCTCCAGAGAATGAGTGAGTGGGCGCGTGTGGGTGACGGGCTGCGTGTGGTTGGGCGAAGGAGAGGATAGTGGCCAGCAGACCTCGTGGCCACAGCGCTCGCCTGGCTGTGGCCTGTCCGCCTGTCACATGCAGGGGGCAGGGTCCTCGCCCAGTCCTGGCGCCTCCACTGCCCTGGGGGTGCGGAGGCGGGTCTCCCGGCTGCGTCAAGTAGCAGCCGCCTGCCCTGGGCCTGTGCTGCTGCGGGGGCTTAGCTGTGGGCCCCCACCACCTCCCAGGGTGAGCACCCGCTTCTCAGAAGCCCCTCCCTCCGCAGTTCAGCGGGCCCACGAGCAGCTTTCTGTCCCGGTCACGTGCAAGATCCGGGTCTTCCCAGAGATTGACAAGACCGTGAGGTACGCCCAGATGCTGGAGAAGGCTGGCTGCCAGGTGAGGGGCCGGGGGTCCTGCTCCCAGGTGTGTCCCAGGAGAGCTCACCCTCGGGGGCGACGGGAGTCACAGTGACGTTGATGGGGCCCGTGAGGGCGGCTGGCCTTGACGGGGACTAGGCTCCTCACCTGCACCCTGGTCGCACCGCAGGGCGTCAGCTGGCCCCGAGGGCAGCCCAGGTGGGGTCTGGGGGGCAGGGACTGAGAGCCAGCCCTGCTGTGTCCTAGCTGCTGACAGTGCACGGGCGCACCAAGGAGCAGAAGGGGCCTCTGTCCGGCGCCGCGTCCTGGGAGCACATCAGGGCCGTGCGGTGAGTGGGGTGGGGCCTCGAGGCGACCGGGATACGTCGGGGCTGGGTGCTGCCCTGAGGGTGGCCCCCCAGTCTCCTCGGCTGAGTGCCCCCTGCTCCCCAGCAGGAAGGCCGTGGCCATCCCTGTGTTTGCCAACGGGAACATCCAGTGCCTGCAGGACGTGGAGCGCTGCCTGCGGGATACGGGGGTGCAGGGGGTCATGAGTGCAGGTAAGGCCGCGCCTCCGCCCACGGCCCAAAGTGTCCACATTGTGACGCCACCGGCCCAGCTGAACAGCCTCGGGCCTCGCGCTGTCCTCATGCCCTGAGCTGGCAGCAGCCTTGCCCTGGGTGTGATGGGGCAGGGGTGGGGGGTCCCTCTGAGGTCATGAGCACCCTGAGCTCAGCCGCTCCCCCTCCTGCAGAGGGCAACCTGCACAACCCCGCGCTGTTCGAGGGCCGCAGCCCTGCCGTGTGGGAGCTGGCTGAGGAGTACCTGGACCTGGTGCGCCAGTACCCCTGCCCGCTGTCCTGCGTCCGGGCCCACCTCTTCAAGCTGTGGCACCACACGTGAGTACCCCCCGAGGCAGACCCGTCAGCCTGAGCCCCACCTGGCACGGGGTTTCCAGAAACGTATCGGTGGTTGGCCACCAAATCAGGCTTTGAGGGGCTGGGTGACGGGGAGGCAGCCTGGGTGGGAGAGGGCAGCTCCCCGCGGCCCGGGGCTCGGTCGGGGGGCAGGCCCGCTTATGGCGTCTGTCTCAGGCTGCAGGTGCACCAGCAGCTTCGCGAGGAGCTCGCCAAGGCGAAGACCCTGGAGGGCGTGGCCGCCGTGATGAAATAAGCCAGTCATTGAAAGAAAAATACCACAGGATCTCACTCATTTATGGATAATAAAGACCATTAGAAACTGATGAACAAAAATAGATACAGAGGCAGAACAGCATTGAACAGACTGTCAAACTACAGCGGGAAGCCGGGGGAGGATTGGGGTCTGCGGTGTCAGGCATGTGCAGGGCTGGGAGCCGCCCGGCGCCTCCGGGACGGGCTGGTGACGGGACCCTGGCCTTTTGCAGGAGGACATGTTGCGGCAGGAGGGGGAGGGGCCGTCGGGCGGCCTGCCTTTCTTCCACTGGATCTGCCAGCCCTACTTCCGGCCGGGGTGAGCATGCGATGCGCGTCGGGCAGGGCACAGGAGGGCCCGGCCCGCTCTGCCCCGTCCTCCCAGGTGCCCAGCGGCTCCCCTACTCGTGGGCGCTTAGGTTTTACCTCTTTTCCCTCTGACCCAGTCCGTGGCCTCAGCCCTGCCTAGGCTTGGAGGTCAGACCCCAGAGTCCCGGTGCCTGTGGCTCCAGCTGGCCCAGGCAGCAGCCTGAGAGCTCGGACGTGGGGCCTCTCAGCTCTGCCCCTGCCCTTCCCGTCCAGGCCCAAGGAGGGGAGCAAGAACACAGGCGCCCGCAGTAAGCGGGCCCTGGAGGAGGAGGAGGAGGGCGGCACGGAAATCCTGTCCAAGAACAAGCAGAAGAAGCAGCTGAGGAACCCCCACAAGACCTTCGACCCCTCGCTGAAGCGTAAGCTGTGGCAGCTGCCGCCCTGAGGCGCCCGGAGAGGCTGTGGGCTTGGGACCGCCTTAGGTAGCCACTGGGAGACCCAGCCATGGCCACAGAGTCTGAGCCCTTGGGGGAAGGACGAGGGCCTGGTGTTCTGGGCACCAAGTCTGCATGTTGGCTGCCCCGAGTGGCCCGGCGGCCACAGCAGACGGGGGTCTGTAGGCTTTGCGTGGGGCCATGGGGGCTGCTCACCTGGCTCACCAGGACCCCCTTGTGTTCTTTTCCCAGCAAAATACGCCAAGTGCGACCAGTGTGGGAACCCCAAGGTGAGCTGCCCTTTCTGCAGTGCTGCACAGCGGGGCTCAGCCCCAGGGGCATGGGCAGGGTGGTCCCTGCTAACCCTTTGTCTGCAGGGAGTACAGCCCACTGACAGCTCATAGCTTTTCTGTGTCCAGGGCAACAGGTGTGTGTTTAACCTGTGCCGGGGCTGCTGCAAGAAGCGAGCTTTCAAAGAGACTGCGGACTGCCCAGGTGAGGCACTTGCCACCGAGCCCTTACTCCCTCCCCCGACCCCTCGGGCAGTGGGACCTGTGACCTCCTGAGCCCCCAAACCTCCCCCATCCACTCTGCTAGGTCACGGATTGCTTTTTAAAACCAAACTGGAGAAATCGCTGGCCTGGAAGGGGGCCCAGCCCCAGCTGCAGGAGCCCCCACAGGCGGGGCCCGGGGACCGAGGCGGCTTCCCAGGGGTCCTGGGCAGTGCCCTGGCCTGAAGGCCCCAGAGGCCGCCGCCCGCCCCTCCGGCCTCAGGACTGTGCGAAGCCCCCCACCCCTCAGGAGACGCCTTCACTCAGGGAACCTCCTGCTCCTCCACACCCCTCGGCCACACCGGGCTGAGCGCGGCCCCGGCGAGTGTTCTCAGGCTGGACCTGCCCTGACCTCGCACCGTGTGCCCTAAAGTGAACAATAAACCTTCAGAGACGTGCGTGCCCAGAGTGCGCCAGTGCGGCCCCGGCCAGCGTGCCCCCACCACAGCCCCGCTGGGAGGGAGGAGCCCCTCCTGCCTGGACCCACACCTTGCACAGGCTGGGCCTTTGCTGCCTGGATGCAAGGGGCCCAGGGACAAGGCCTAGCCCTCCCCCAGCCCAACCACAAGAGCTGGACACAGAACAGTTCAGGGGAGGCTGCTTTTAATGGACTAAGGTTCACAACGATCTGCAACCCCACATGTGAGAGCAGGAGGCCCTGAGGCCTCGCCTTCCAGACACCCCTCCTCCGTGGGGCAAGCACACAGGCGTCCAGGCAGGGGGCCGAGGGCAGAAACCCGGCGGCTCCTCCAGAAGTGCTGGGGCTGGGGGCAGGGTGTGCAGAGCCTCCTGGAGGGCCCGGCAGGCACCCTCACATGTTGGTGCTCATCCGGGACTGGCTGTTGGCCGGTGTCAGCTCCCCCTGGCTCCCTTCTCGGGGAGGGGACTGCAGCGGAGACAAGGCCGTTGGCCCAGGTGTGTGTGCCCGGCTGTGCCGCCCCCGCCCCCCGTGCCGCCCACCCTCACCTTGACGTGGATCTGGTTGCGCAGCACAGCTGCCCGCAGGATCATGGCTTTGGCACGGCGCTGGAACTCCTTGCCCATGAGCAGGGACTTCTCGAAGGTGGTGCTGCGCTGGTCCACGTCGCGCGCGTAGAGGATCTGCAGGGTGGGCAGCGGGTCAGTGGGACCGGGTCCCCCCGCCTTGCCATGGGGGCCGCCTTGCCCCGGGGGCAGCACCTTGCTGTGGGAGTCGATGCGGGCGTTGATGAGCCCCTCCAGGATGAGCTGGGTCAGCTCGTCCTCCAGCGCAGCCACCGTGGTGTTGAAGGCAGTGGCCATCCGGCGCATGTCGGCTGACACGTAGGGGCTGAAATACTGCAGAGCCAGCGGGTGTCAGCTGCCCGGCCTCCAGGTGCACCCACAGCCCCCCTGGGCCTGCACCCCTACCCGCCCCCCACCACCACCACCTGGATGAGGGCGCGGTTGCGGATCTGGGTGTACAGGGTCCTGACGTGGGGGGCCAGGTACATGTCCAAGAGCAGGTTGTCCTGACGAGAAAGAGGGTCAGGAGCTGCAGCCCCCACCCCCGCACCCGCCACCCCCGCCTCTAGCCAGGCAGCCTCACCTTCATCTCGTCCAGCATCTTTAGGCACGAGGCGTACTTGGACTCGTAGAACTTGAAGATGATGTCCCGGACCTGGGGCTCCAGCTCCAGGAACAGCTTGAAAGAGCTGCGGGGTCCACCTCCTCAGAGCCGCCCTGCCGCCCCCTCCCCCCGCCATCTACCCTGCACCCCCAGAGGATGGTGGCGAGAGACACGGGGCCCTGCACCCCCACCTGCTGGAGATGACGTTGCGTTGCAGCTCCTGCCGGTCGAAGGTGGCCAAGGCGCAGAGGCCGCCGTACACGGCCACGTTGCTGGGGGACAGCAGCTGAGGGGCAGGGACGGGGGTCACTGCCCGTCTGGACAAAAGGCAGGAAAGCCCAGAGCCAGGGCGGTCCCCCCCACCCACTCCGAATGCTGCTGGGAGAGGCCCCCCAACAGCCCAACCAGGCGCCCCGCTGCTGCTCTGCTGCGAGGGGAGTGACTACGAGGGGAGTGACTACGAGGGAGTGACTAAGATAGCACCGCTTGCTCCCCTCCTGGGCCGGCGCCCCGGGGCCAGCACAGCTGGTCACGGCTGCAGGGGACTCAGGTGGGGGCTGGCCCTGACAGCGACCCTCCGAGGCCATGTCTGCACTAACCACTGGTCACGCTGGCCTGCACTGGGACCTGAGCTGGGCAGCGCCCACCTATGCGTGGGGCACAAGCGTCTGCCCAACCGTTAGGACAGCAGCACAAGCACACAGGCCACCTCCGTGGAG